GCTGAGGAATGTACGCTGGGACTGATTAAAGAAGTGTGCCTACTCCTCACTTTTATTACACCGTTTGAGATCAACAACAAGATTTCATATGTCGACGTCTTCTTAAACTAATCGCCTAAGTGACATTTTGCCAAAAATGATTTTTTTGCCTAAATCAGCTCCTCTTGACGCTGGGCACCTCTGGTAAAAACGCCTAAGGCCTCTGTTGAGGAGATCATGCTTTAAAACCCTGTTGTTACTTAGGCCGTAATATAAACCATGACAAGAGCGTGACTTAGGCAAAATAATTCGGCCTAAGTCCAAAGTCAATGTGACTTAGGCAATTTTACAAACTGTCAAAATCAAAATGGAGACTGCTTCAAGACAAATGTTCTCAGTCACTGAAGTGATTTCCATGATTCATGGCTCATCTCCTGTTGGTAAGTGATTATGATGACTACATTAGAGGCTAGGCTTTAAATATAGCAAATATTTAGTAATTTAATTTCAATTTAAAGTCAGAATTGTTGATAGTAAAGTAGCTGTACAAGCTAGCAGTTAGCAAGCATCTGGAATGGTCCAGAACTGTGGAGGACATTGGGCCTCATTCACGAACGGTTGTTAGGAACAGATTTGTACGTAAATCCTACTTACGAGGTTTTTACGAAGAAAGTGGCATTCACGAATTTTTCTCGTAACCAGAATTTCTCTTGGGCAAGTACAAATCCTACGAGTCCTCAGGAGCACTCGTACGCATTCAGTGCCGACTTGTTCACACGCCGGGGTTGTCCTCTTTGGTGAAGTTTAATAAAAATACAACATTCCAGTGATATGTCCGTCATATCGATGTATGTATTTATTTGTAGTAATCTTTATTAGTAATCTTTATTTATATACCGCCTATTTCACTGCAGATCTGGCCTACTTTTTAATTCATTTTGAAATGAAATGTGCCAACGCTTTATCAAATACATTGGAAATCTTGCCGTGTATTAGTGACCCCTTCCTATTTATAGGGGGCATTTCTTTATCCACGGGCCACAGAACAACGGCATATATACTGCTGCTGCAGGAGGTTACTGGGTCCGCGCTGAGTCTCTGCGCTGGTCTCTCCCATGGATCTATACGGGTCTGCACTGGTCTCTCCCATGGCTCTAGACGGGTCTGCACTGGTCTCTCCATACGGGTCCGTGCCGCATGCTCCTGGATCCATACGGGTCCGCGCTGGTCTCTCAAGTCTGGTCTATGCGGTCTCTCTTCGGTCCGCGCTGGTCTCTGCGCACCGGTCTCTCCAGTCAGGTCACTACAGTCTATGCAGTCTCTCCTATAGGCAGTGGCGGCCGGCCAATAGAGGGCGCTAGGGCGCCGCCCCACCACTCACAACTTGCCATGTTACCTTGAATAAAACGTTAAAAAAAATAATAACATTAAAATATTTCGAAATGTATGTGTGTTTTATTTCAGATGTGGAAGAAATACTTTATAGTTTATGCTGAGTTGGATTGATTAAGCTCATCAGCGCTGTCTGTGTCGGACTGAGGACGTATTTCCGCCTCAGGGCGCAAAAGATTGCGCCCTGAGCCGTCTATGGACTCTCGTTAAAAGTTGTACATGCGCAGTAGCTCCTCTTCAATGCAAGAGATAAGACGATTTGGGGGCGCAGGAGAAGTGCGCCCTGAGGGGGCGGGGTCGCCCGCGACCTGTACTGTCACTGTCTGTGACGTCCGTTTACAGTGATTGACAGGTCAAGCTGTGGGAGTTTGAGACGAACGTAAACAGGCGCAACATGGAGAACGAAAAAAAGAATAATTCAGTTAGATCACTCAAAACAATACCGTTTGAGAGAAGATCATACCAGGAGAAGGTTGAGGTTAAAGAGCTTGGACCTGATCAGCCAAATATTACCATTAGTCAGCAGTCCAGCGACAGGGGGAGACGGTACACTCGTACTTTTTCCAGGACCTGGTTCAGCGCCAAATCTTGGCTAGCAGCATGTAGCGAGGCTAATGCTTTATTTTGCTTTCCATGCCTCTTGTTTCAAACATCAGGATCTGACCCAGCATGGATCAAGACAGGTATGACTGATCTGAAGCACTTTTTAGAAAAGGCAAAGAAGCATGAGCAGACTGGTATCCACATGCAAAATGCCCTCAAATTAGCTATGTTTGGGAAGATAAATATTTCATCCCAGCTGGATGAAAGCTACAGGGTAGGGATCAGAAAGCACAATGAGGAGGTTGACAAGAATAGGCACATCCTATCAAAAATAATAGACTGTGTCAAATTCTGTGGTGCATTTATATCTAGTCATCATATTCATAGCCCCCCCAGTAGAAAATTCCACCAGCCGCCACTGCCTATAGGTCCGCGCTGGTTTCTGTGTGCTGGTCATTCCAGTCTCTCCTCGGGTCTGCATTGGTCTCAGCGCTGGTCCGCGCTGGATCTCCTCCCAGGATCAAAAATATTTTGAGATTAATCTCAAAACATTTTGAGATTCATCTTTAAAATAATACATAATATATTTTTAAATTAAGCTCATAACATTTTGAGATTAATCTCATCATATTCTTAGATTAATCTCATAATTTTGCTAGTTCGACTTTATTCTCATAATATTTCGACTTTTAAGTCAACATTTTATAACTTTATTCTCAGTCTGGCAAAAGAAGAAAAAAGGGTGACTCTTTTGCTCCGTGTAACTCTTTGCTTTAGGCCTGTTGCTGTTTCCTCTGGCGTCTGCACACGGCCCTGCAGTCCCTTTTATGGGCGTTAATGGGCGGTTACTTATGCTAAGTACCTATGCTAATGAAGCACCTGGCGCGCGCTCTACTTACGAGGAAATGGGATTCATCAATCTAAGAACAGCTGCGAACAATTCAGCGGCTTAACACTAGGACCGCCGCGCTCTAAACATACCTTGCACCGCCCCCTGCGGTCAGTTGACCGCTATGTATTTTGCGCTGATACAGCCTTTTGCCAAATTGATTGTTCACTAAACCAGAACTTGATGTTGCAAAGGAATCGTGATCATAATGAAACTGTGTAAATTATTTGTCTAAATATGCTAAGTAATTGTAATTCTAGCCGAAATAAAAGACTAAGACGACACATTGTGCGTGTACTGATCCATCAAAATTACGATGACTTTTCAGGCTAGATTTATTTTGTAACTTTGCAAACACCTAAAAGGTCGGTCACTATATGTTATATTTGACTCAGTAACAATATGTAAATTCAAACAATATAAATTATAGTTTAGAAAAGCACGGGACCATAACGTCTTCGCGCTGCTATATGCGTCTACTTCTTACGTCATCTCCAGACTGTTTTCTCTTTAGAGGCCGAAATCACCGTGGGAAATATTATCTAGATAATAATAATAGTATTCGTATTGACACAAGATCATCAGCTAGGCTACCATCGTCAATGTAAAATCTTCAATTTTACACGGGACACGTTAGAAAGACAAATATATGTATATGTATATTTGTATTTATTTGAGACAAGCAGTGCTCTTTATGCTCAGAACAAAATTATAATCATTGCCTTGCAGTGCGCGCTGTGCAGAATAACACACAGTGTTATCTGGATGAAATAAGAATTATATCCTTATTGATATATGAGGGCCGCCTCTGTCCCACAGTCCCTCTCCTCCTGCAGTGTCCGCGGGTGACGAGCACTCTGATCTGCACTCTGCCTTGATAGTTCATCTAATTGTTCTATTTTATTGCGATATTGTATTCTGCTTTATTGCCTTCTTGTATGTATAAATATAATAATGTAATTGATGATGAATGAAAAGGCAGAATGGAGCGACAGCGCGCACACAGACACCTGCGTATGGCTGGCATTACGCACGCTCATGTGCGTTATTGCTTCTGGACTTGTTACAACACTGCTGCCCGTGCCGTGAATGCACTATGGGTTTACGTTCAGATTTAGAATATTATAGGTGTTCTCCCCGCTGTCACTTTCTACCTCAAAATGTGACATCTCTCACCTCCGTCAGACTGTTCTCATTCAATGTCTTGAAGCACTGTCAGGGCTTCATACCGTGTACTTGCAGCTCTATTCATTTTGTACTCCTCTCTCTCCCAAATAATAATAAAAAAGTCCCTTTAGAGTCTAATGACAACATATTGATACATTTTTATAAGGCGCGAAAAACCCCCGGGAAAGGTTACTATGACAACAGTCGCCCCTGCGCCATGTTTCCCTATGGGGCAGCAGAAAGGGCTGTGGTTTAGAAAAGTTAAAATACGTGTAAATCTTGTTTTCTTTACTTTTTCCAAAACCAAAACACACCAAAATATAAACAACAAGTACCTAGTAAAAGTCATAAAATTTCAACTTCTGGCGTTTTGTTTTGAATACACTAATTAGCATAATAAAGTGAGTGACGGTCAGTTGACCGCTAGGGGCGCTCCTAGTGTTAAGAGTGCGTTGATGAATCCCACGTAGGCTCTTCTTAGAAATCTACTTAAGGACAACTTGAGAAGAAATTTGAGAAGTTTCTTACGAAGTTATTCGTGAATGAGGCCCATTGAGTGCCACGTTAAGTGATGTTAAGCATGAAAGTAAATTAGTTTAGTAAAAGACTTTTGAAAAGTGAATTTAGTAAAGAATGACTTTATGTATTCACAAATAATTTTGGAAAAACATGTTGTAATCTGTCTCACGTCTCCTTGTAAACCAAGGGTGGGCTATTATTTCATCCAGGGGGCCGATCCTGAGAAAACAGTATCATGGAGTTTTCAGATGGTTACCACTTAATTTCATTTGGGAAAAAAACTGTTGCAAAATTATGTATTTTAATAACATAGAGAAAGTTACATCAATTATAAACAAAATATTTAATGACAAGAATGAGAAAGACTCATAGTTCTGTCAGCGTACATCTACTCGTGAATGCCAAGGTATCACAGAAGAGCAGAGGCAGTGGATATTTCAGAAGATATGGGCGATGGAGTCCTGGAAAGAACGTCAGTTATATATAACCACTTTAGTCAAAAAGGTTGACATCAAGCGAAAGAAAGTTGTTGAGGCATCCCGACGAAGGCGCTCACTGTCCTTTCAACTGAAGCCACAAGATGGAACGAGTCTCAAAGTGTGGAAATCACTTTTTTCCTCTACACTTGGTGTCCCAGAAAGAACCATTACAGAATGGCTTAACAAAGAAACAATTGACAATGATGAAGAATTGGAAGCGCAGCCATCTAAATATGGACCTAAGAGTGGCAAGCATTCAAAACTTAAAACAGACGACGTGGATTTCCTTTCCAAGTGGTTGAGGGACCTGCCCATTGTCCCTTCACACTACTGCAGAAGCACAAACACCTACAAAGATAAGAAGTTCCTTCACCAAGGCACAACCATATACCAACTACATCGGGAATATGAAGAAATGGCTACAGCTGCTGGAGTAAGGAGCGTTGGATTAGGGTATTTTAGTAATGTGTTCCACAAAGATAACTATTCTGTATTCATTCCACGGAAAGACCAGTGTGATGTTTGTGTTTCATTCAAGCACAATAACATAAGCCAGGCTGAATATGATGCACATATCATAAAGAAAGAGGAAGCAAGGCAAGAGAAGTCCAGAGACAAGGAGTCGGCAAATAATGAGAAGTCAGTTTGGTCAATGGATATGCAAGCTGTGCTGCTGTGTCCAAGAACCCAAGCGAGCAGCCTGTATTACAAAACAAAACTGCAGGTCCATAACTTCACCCTCTTCAACATGAGATCAAAGGAAGGGTACTGCTACCTCTGGGACGAAACAGAGGCTAACCTTAGTAGTGAGGTATTTGCCTACATCCAATACTCCCATTTTGAAGGTGTGATCCAAGACCATCCAGAACTCAAGGATATAATAATATGGAGTGATGGTTGTGGTTATCAGAACCGCAATACATGTGTGTCAAAGGCATTATCTGAGCTTGCAAGGAAACATGGGGTATTAATAACACAAAAATACCTTGTTGCCGGGCACACACAGATGGAGTGCGATAGCATGCATAGTACGATTGAACGCAAAATCGTCACAGATATCTTCACCCCGAGAGACTATGTTGTGATACTTCAGACTGCAAGAATCAAGCCATCACCATACCATGTCAAGGTTCTCAAGCATTATGCATTCCTGAAAATGAATGGATCTTACTTCAATAGTATCAGACCAGGCAAAAAAGCTGGTGATCCAACTGTGCATGACTTGAGGGCTCTTCAGTTTGGCAGTGAAGGTACGGTGCATTTCAAACTGTCCTTCTGTGTGGGAAGCACTGCCACAGAGGATGCAGGTACAAAATGAGCCAATGTCATGGATTAGAATGTTTCCAAGTGCTCTGCCAATCAAGGAGAGAAAGTTCCAAGACTTACAATCAATGAAACACGTGATGCCATTGGAGTGCCATCAATTCTTTGACACTTTGCCACATTAATGGGCATCAAGAAACCAGTAAAGTGGGACTGGTAAGAAGAGTGAGGAGATTTACATTCCTCCTATTAATATTTTAGGTTTAATGTTGGCAGGGTTAAAATATTTATATTGCCTAAGTCACCGTAGACATATTCAGAAAATTGCCTAAGTCTGTTATTTCTGCAGTGTTGCATAGTTGGTAGAAATTGTTATTAGTATGTCAACAGGCATCTGATGTAATGACATTTTGGATTGAAACTGTTAATAAAAGTTATATTTTTAATAAGTTCTGAAGTTTTTTGTGTTTCCTGAAAAATATGAAAATGTGACTTAGGCGATTAGTTTAAAGTAGTACTAGAATTTAATATGCAGAATATCCCGAATATATAACTAAAATATGTGTTTATAATATTTCGGGTGTTCATTTTGACATGTTCAGATGAATTATGTTAAAAAAACTGCTTTGAAGTGGCACCTTTTCACTTCCGCATAGAAACGCTAGGGGGAGCCAAAATGGCGGCGATGACGTAGGAGAAGGGCATCTCACAGCAGCAGCAGCAGTCTTAGCTGGAAACTGTAGGAGGTTTCACTGTCATCTGAACAAGGTATAAACATATTTTCATCCGTTTTGTACATAATAGTGTGCAACTCTTTTAACCTTTTAGCCTTATTTGTGAGATTCAAGCTAATTAGTGTTGGGCAAGTTAGCTAACTCTACTTGATATCATAAAACATGCTAACAAGGCTAATATTCGTTTTTACATTATGCCAGTCTCACTTTGGTTACCTTAGATTTATTTACCACAATGTACATTGTAATATCCATAAATGGTAACACATATTAACGGTTTAATTAGCATTTTTATCAATGATTGCATCACATGTAGTCTATGTTTTCAACTTCTGCAGCTCTTTGTTCATAAAAGTAAAATATTTATTTAATTCAAGTTATTTTGATTAGCATTTATGGATATTACAATGTACATTGTGGTAAATAAATCTAAGGCAGCCAAAGTGAGACTGGCATAATGTAAAAACGAATATTAGCCTTGTTAGCATGTTTTATGATATCAAGTAGAGTTAGCTAACTTGCCCAACACTAATTAGCTTGAATCTCACAAATAAGGCTAAAAGGTTAAAAGAGTTGCACACTATTATGTACAAAACGGATGAATATGTTTATACCTTGTTCAGATGACAGTGAAACCTCCTACAGATTCCAGCCCAGACTGCTGCTGCTGCTGTGAGATACCCTTCTCCTACGTCATCGCCGCCATTTTGGCTCCCCCTAGCGTTTGTGAAAAGGTCTGACTTCAAAGCTGTTTTTTTAACATAATTCATCTGAACATATCAAAATGAACACCCTAAATATTATAAACACATATTGTAGTTATATATTCTGGATAGCAGCATATTAAATTCTAGTACTACTTTAAGAAGGCGTCGATGTGATAAATATATTAGACTGAGCCTGGGGTGTCGTGGATTATTTATCACTGTGAACATGTATTTTTTAAGAAGCCATGTTTTTTCCAATGTATTAAATATCCCATTTTAAACCGTTTCATTTGAACTTTAAGACATTGAAAAGTGCTTCTCAAAGTTTAAATAAGTTGTTTTTATAATCTAATTTTACCCTTATACAGCTAAAAAAAAAAAAACATTAAGATTAAAACTATCTTTTACAGGAGTGGCCAAGTGGCAGTAGAGCACAAGGATTAAAATATCAACATTAAAATACACTACTACTATTCAAAGGCAAAAACAATATAATCAGTCATTTCCCCGCTGGGGGACAAATAAAGGTTCTCTTACTTACACACACTGCTCCAAGACCAACATACACAGCTAATTTTACAGCTAAATCCACGTAACTCAAATGCTTTCTTTCCCATCTCAATCTGTAGCATAGACTGTATAGATATATAGACATAGTGATAGATCAGGGGTCCCCAAATGGAAGACTCTCAGAGCAGAGGATCCCTACTGGTCCAGGGCTGCACCCTGAGACCCTTTTCTCTTGACCTCCGTGATTTTTTTGTTTGTTCAAAAGTACATTTTTACAAGTATATGTCAAATTTTCAACGAAAGCGGTTTGTACACAGGCAAGCCCGAGGGCAGCTTTGTGCGCAGCAGGGTCCTTTGGAGAAAACTTTAAGGAGCTGTCAAAATAACTTTGGCTCGTTTGCTAACATTGAATATATTAGCCCAGTGTTCTGTATTCAGAAATAATTAATTATTATTTTAAACATGAAATGACCTCACCTTCAAGAGACTCTCTGTGATAGGGCAGGGGTCTCCAACCTTTTTCCCATGGAGAACTAGTCTTTTAGGACACAAAAGACAGAGAGCTACTCCTTCAGGTAGACATTTAGTCAATACTGTAGAATAGTGTAGAATGGAATTGGATTGTTTCATCAGTATTTAACAGTTAACCGTAAACCGATAATTTAGTTCCAATTGATGTATATAGAAGACAGAGTTTAATAAAAAAGTAAAGATTAATAAATATGTAAATTGCAAGTTGTTCGCCAGCAGGTCAAAAAGGTGTATATGAATATTCTGTGTCTAATATTTGTGTAATATCCTTAGTCGTACCATTTTTCTGTTTTGCTTGTTCTACGGTGAACTGTCGGTAAACTACGGCAAAAAGTGCACGGTAAACATCTGTTATAAAAACTCCCACGCCTCTCTGTGCGTTCCTGAAAAAGTCTGCATAGTTAGGTTAGGGACCCCTGATGTCGATGCTTTCCCCAAACTTTCTGCGTCCAGTGCTGCAGAAGCCGGGACAAGACTACAGTATATGCGGCCATCGTGATGCAACATTGGCGGAGAAAAATGATGACACCAGCGATGAAAGAAGTGGACGATGAAGGATTGAAAACAGCTCTAGCTTGGAGGAAGGTGACCCGCGGCCCGGCTCGGTTTAATGGACAGATACGTGAAAGGATAAAGCACTGGACAGCTGTTGTGAAATGTGCTTTACTGAGGAATATGAGCCAGGAATGCAAATGATTCTTTGTATTATCCATATTTCCTCTTTGGTTGATTCAATGAATAAGAAATGCACCCACCAGTCTGTCGTACTTTTGGGAAACTCTCAAAAATAATATAAAATAAATTAAATAAAAAAAATAAATAATATTCTTATGTTGATAGTTACACATGTTTTGGGTTGTAGGTTTGAGTCTTTCCTTCACACATGTTCTTGATGGATTTTGTGATTTTTCTTGACAAATACGTCCTTCCTGTTTGTCATTTCTATTTTTTTTTTCTTTTTCTAGGGTACTTTCAAATCACACAAATAAAATGATCAATACAATCCATCAAACTACGTAAGTTCCATCCCATTCGATTTATTATTTTGTTATTTTTCCATTCCTTTCACATAATGTATTTGTTTCGACCTCTGTCAAATCTTAAGATAACCTTTATCAGACAAAATTGTGAAACAAAGAAGACCACCTTCACTCAGTCAAATAGCTCTCAGCCCAATGCATCAATAAGCGACTCGCAGAGTAAAGTATGCCATTTTTTTCTTCTTTATAGCATGTTGTGGCCTGATTTGTTCATGGCTTTTTTTATTTAGGGACAAACAATATATACTATTCATGAAGCACAAAAAGTTAGGTATCCCAGATTTAGGATATTAATCCGCGTTCCAAAACATGAAATTCTAACGTAAATATTCTCAAGATAATGTTTATGAGTCTAAATACTTTAGTTGTGGATTAGTATCATTTAACCTACACAGATATTGCAACTCAGAATATTAGAATATTGTTCAAAAGTCCATTTTCTTTTGTAATTCAACACACAATAAGTAAGGAATATTTTTATATAGTGCATTTCACTGTCAAGGTCGCAGAAAACACTTTTTACGCTTTGTTTTCTTTGGCATAACGTTTGAAATAAATTCTTACAATACTATGTCCTTGTACCAGAAATGTCCATTCTCCACACACAGTGATGACAAAAGTGAGACACCGAAAACTGGCGCCGTCCATTCACTCTCTCAATACATTAATTACTATTGTACACCCGGAAGAAACCTATACAGACACAGGGAGAACATGCAAACTCCACACAGAACAGCCCCGTCCGGAGGTGGAGTCAAATCCAGGTGCTTCTTGAAGCACAAGTGAAAGTAATATAAGACAGACTCATTCATGAAAATTGAGCTATGATGATAATTGGCTCAAAGCTTGTAAAAATGCCAAATAAAAAATATCAGAAAATGAGAAATATTTTGGGAAAGGACTGTATAAAGAGCACACCAAACATTGATTAATGAGGTGCAGATGCGAGAATAAAAATTTCAGGAAACAGGGTAGCATTGCACACATCGCCCAAAGTCTAATTTACTCATGACGTTACGGCTTTATACCTTCATCATATCGTGTTTTTTTCTTTTGACCACAAAACATGATCTGATGATCTGATCTGATCATAAAGCTGAAACGTCATGAATAAATAAGACTTCAGACATCTGAGCTGAGTGGGAAAGGACTGTAACCCATAATAAAAAATAAAAAATAAAAAAATGTCACTCAGTAATGGTCTTAGCCTGGTCGTACCACACCATAGTAAAAATTACATTTCATACTAAGGTCTGGACGTGCTCCATTGAGCTCCGTTTACAAGTGGGAGCGGTTAACTCCTTTTGCAGATTGAAACGATTGGATCTGAGTTTACCGTCACATATGTAATGCGCCCGAGTGAGTCGTTAGCATTTAGCCTAGCCATCTCCGCTAACGGAGCTTGTGGGGAGTAGCGCCACAATCTTTGCCAGAAATTACATTTGCTAATATTCCTCTTGCTCCGGCTTCAATTTCTTGATAGAACCAGACCGGATTACTTTACTATCGCATTCTTCGCCATTGCCAGAATACGACTTGCCCGTTTGGCGCAAACTCTTGACGTCACCCACAACTAACTACAACACCTGCCTCCCACGCTCTCTTATTGGTCGAATGGAATTCAACCAATTGTAATCGCAAACACCGGGACCAGACCCAGACGTAACATGCAGGAAAATGATGATTGAGCGGTGAGCACGGATGGATAAGGCCAGGCTATAATGGTCTATAACATGGATTGGTTTCAAAATTTTCAGACATGAATTTGAAATGATATCAACCAAAAAGCTCTGTAGTCGGGTTTTGTACTCCTTTCCCCCACAAGAGTCTTCTTACCCTGCATGCCGGTGGGGCCGAAGCCTTGCCTGGTGAGGAAGATGGCGTGGTCGTGGTGCTCGGCGTGCTCCACATCCCCCTTCTGCTGCCCAAAGGCCCAGCGGCACACGTTCTCCAGGCTGCGTGATGGGTTCCCCCTCTCGATCAGGCTGATGGACTGACAGCACACACAGGGGAGAGAAGAGAGGCGTGTGAGCTGTGGCTTCAGACTGCAGCCTCGAGCGTGGTATCACACTTTAATGTGAGTGTTTGATGTGCCAACCTTTTTCAAAATGTCACATTCGCTGCAATATCTGTGCTGGATCTGAATCTGTTTAGGTTTTGACGCTGCTGTCGGATAAGGAGACCATCGAGCCTCACACCAGAGCTGGCTGAATGCCCTTGCAAAAACTTGTATAGAAGTCAACTTGGTGTGTTCAATTCAGTTTATTTTTGTCTAGCTCTAGATCACAGTCTTGGAGGACTTATCAAAGTTGTCCATTCACCAACAACAGAGAATCAAACAGCTCGAACACAGGAAACACAACAACAACATAACATACAGTAGGAGCCATTGGTCCAAAGGGATGATCAGTGTCCATAAATGCACCGGACCATCACTGTCCTAAGACCAGGCAGGTCCAAGCTTGTTCGTAAGAGGTCCAGTTTAGTTTACTAGAAATGTCCCGTGGGCCGAAAAAGCGATCGTAAAAGACTGTGCTGGAGTTAGCTGAATGACAAATGTTTACTTTATCGCCTGTTTTATTAGCGCCATTGATGGAATTTTCAACAAACACTTAAAAAACAGGGGCTGGTGCTATGTGTACTGGTTCAGCTCTGACTGCCGCCCCCCCGACCCAGAAATAGATTAAGGGGAAGAAAATGGATGGATGGTACTTAGAAAAAACAGTACAAACCAATGTCATTACATATAAAACTGAACAAACTATCAACTGTACAAATGTTAAACTATTAAGGACGGACCAGAAGAAGCGACGGCACCTGGAGTAAATCTTGGCTTAAAGACAGTGTTGTGCAGATAAGAGACCACAGACCACATAATAAGTTTAAATTGCTGGCTTGTATTTAGAAAAAAGTAGAAGATGGAATGGTCATAAGGACATAGGACAAAACATACAACATGAACACTAGAAGTTTGCACACTTCTGTGTTTTAGATAGAATCCCTTTTATTAAACTCTTAGTTTAATTTAGTTGGATTATCAGTTCAATTCAGTTTTAGTTTTAACAGGTTGCAATCTTTAAGATAAATTTCAGTTGACTTTTGTAAAGTTTATTGTTTCAATGAACAAGTTGATACTTGTTAAATTGGCGACCAAATCTCTATAAGCGCCAACCAATCCCAGTGTTGAAATGTTGTGCTCATTTGTCCAAACAAGAAAGATCTCATATGTGATTAATTCAAAACTTTGCAGTAAACCATTTTAGCCCGTACCAATAGCAACACACACACTTCCCCTAAAATCCAAAGTCAAGTGTATTCATAACACACATTTATAACTTCAAGAGCCCGAAGTGCCTCACACTCCACATGGGATAACACATCGGAACACAATATCACAGAAAGTAGTTCCAAATAACTAAAAGAACAAACATCATGAGTCAGCTCAGTTGGTACAAAAGGCCACAGAGAAAAGGTGAATTTGAAACAAAGTTTTCTAAAGTGCTCTGACTCAGTAGAGCTGACATAAAAGGGCAGAGGCACGGTCACCTGGGCTCTTCCTGCTGCAGCTGTGAGGAAGACTGCATGGGGCGACAAGAAACCGGACAAAAAAGAAGAAGCCAAACTAGAAAGAGATTTCAAAACCATGAATATAAAAATATAAAGAGCCATTAGAACATAGGTTTCACAACATTTAAAACACCAAATAGATAAAAAATGTGTTAGAGGGCAGGTGAAAAAGCTCTCGGATGACAGTGGTTAATCGATCTAGAAAACTATGATTTTTGTCTTGATTATAGTTGTTGATTTGCCATCTTTCTTAAACGTCTATGAAAATCCGATACATCATTAAACAGCATCTGGGAGCGAGTGCAGTGAGACCAGGACTGGATGGATTCCACTGGTGCTTTCTCTCAGCCGCCTGTTTCCTATAAGATTACATTTAAAATATCAGACTAACTTTCAGAGCCTAATCTGAACCCAATGGTCGTGGGTTCGATCCCCTAACAACCCATGTCATCTGCTCCCACTGAAGTCTGCTGTCGTGTGTCCCTGGGCAAGACACTTAACCCCACATTGCCCGAAGCACCTGCAGGAGGTACTGGTGCTATGTGATTTAGGTGCAGCTCTAATAGCCACTCCTCCAACCCAGAAATGGACTAATAAAGGGGATAAAAATAACATGATTGTTTATATTGTGGATTATATTGTTAGCGTGATAATTCCTTCTCTGAGCATGATATCATTTTTAAATTGTGTATTAAAAAACCTTTATAATTTGAAACGCCACCAATTTGTTAGGATAAAAAGATACATACAAGCCTTGTTTTAATACACTTGCGTCAAAATGAGGCACTTCTATCACTTTTCATAGATTTTCAAACACTTCACAGCTGCTGGCTTCACCTCTCTCAATGCAAGTAAATTTTTCAAAGAACAGATTCTTAAGAGAGGGATCTAACCTTTGTCTTCAAGGAGACACTATTTCAGCAAAGCCAAATACAAGAGAAAAAGAAGTGTAGCAGTTTGAACGGACATGAACTACAGCTACTGCGAAGGTTTAGACTGGTTTTGAGGTGTAGACTATCTCACCTCTTCTCTTCCAGCCTCCCACATTGTGTCTTCTTTGGCTGCATTTAAAAGTCACATTCCGGTGCTAAAACTTTCAGCTTGTGCAGCAAATTTCCTCAACCCCATCACACGCTCAATAGTGAGACGTCACTCTCCATGTCATTCGCTCCCTCACCCCCAGGGTTTTTATGTGCATGGTTTGAACTCCATTCCCTCCTGCATACATCGTGCTATTTCTACCGGGGTCCAAGCACCAAATCATATCCACTTTTTCACATCAACCAACGTGATTTTTTGCGTTTGTGTGTGAGTGTTTGTGGCACCCCTATGCCCTCAGTCTCTGGAGCCATGTCATGTGATTGGAGGAGCGGCATGACAGTTGGCCAATCCCGTGTTCCCACCTGTAGATCTCTTCCCTGATCAGGCCACACCTGTTCGTGGACCACCAGCATTTGTGTCCGGCGTTTCATATGTAGAGTCTATGTTCTTTGTACTGTGTGTGTCCCTGTGGTGTGGCACTCACTTTTATTTTGATTTTGTTTAGTCCATTCAGGTTTTAGTTCAATTCGGTTTTGTTTTTTTGTCACACTTTTGTTGGACCCGTGGTTTTGATTCAACCCTTTTAGTTCTGTGTTTGTCTAGTTAGGTTTAGCTTTCCCTGTTGTTAGCGCCCCTTTGTCTTTTGCATTTTCACCCATTTGGGTTTTTTTACTTATCGATCACATTCCTGTTATGAAATAATTTTACATTTTCGTTTTGTTACCTCCCTCACCCTCGTACAGCTGTCTTCACAATAGTTCATAATTGTACAAACAGTTAAAAAAACAGTTAAAGTATAATAATAGCAGCCTTTGTGTTCTTGCTTTCATAATATGATTTTGCTAATTGTGTCCATCTTTTCCCATGTGCCTTGTCAATTCTATATAGAACTCTCTACTTTAAGTTATAATGGAAGTGCTTTGAATGGATCCAAGGGAAGAATGGGGACGGCCTACGGCGGCTAATGGAGTTCCTTATAATTGATAATTAATTAATCATTAATTATAATATATCATTATAATGATATGCAGCCAAAGAAGACACAATTATGTAATTATAATTAATCAAATGGAATGGCACCATTGAATGAAAATAGTACAAGACATGAATGAAAGCTGAAAAAAGGCTCATTCAAGTGGATTTTGCACATATCACTCCTATATTAAGTTTTGAATGACCAATGACTTCGATGTGTTTGTCAGTATTGAATATCAGGTGGTCGAAATTTTTGATTCTCTGACCTGTTGTTGAGGAATTGAGAACTTTGTAAATACCTCCAAAATGACTGCTGTTGTGAATTATTCTCTACACACATAACATGGATTGAATGTATGCTGGTTTTAGAATTAGGCTTCAAACCCCTATCTATGTGACTTTACTTCAGACATTTCTTTCTGTTACTTCACTGCACTACACACATTATCTAAACAAAGATCACAGTAGCGAAGGCCAGATACTTGTACACATTAGTGCCAAAATGCCTCTGCCAAATTGTACTGTATGTGCATCACAGAAAGAACATTAAAAAGAAACAATAGAGCTCAGTATAGTGGATGAGTGATTATCCAGCTCTGTTCAGCTGTGCACACAACAGAAGGACTGTATCTGGATTATTTTAAATGCACTATGATTATTTATGTCACCAGAGCTGCCACCCAAGTCTCAAAGCACCAGTCCCTCGCTGATCTTCCTGCAGGTGTTGGGTCTACAGGATGATGGACCCAACATTCAGCGGGGGCTTCAGGCAAAGCGGGGTTAAGTGTCTTGCCCAGGGACACACAAAAGCAGCAGACATCAGTGGGAGCACATGACAGGGGTCTTGGGGGTATCAAACCCACAACCATCAGGTTCAAAGACCAATGCTCTATCAACTGTCCCAATCAACCCAGTATATGTTTCAATATCAGAGTGAATTGTTTATAATTTAATACCCTGTGTGATGAGCTGTGAACCACTTTGTGCATGAAAAGCGCTCTACAAATAAAGGTTTATTGATTGATTTCATGAGAAGGTCTTTCTAACGTCAAATTGGCTGTTCATTCTCAAAATGCGTAGCTAAGGTAAGCGATGGTTGAAAGCAGTTTGGTTCAACTGTGTCCAATGATTGAAGAAAAAAAGCCATTTCATACCCTAGTCTTGGATATGTGTGAAGAAACTATTTGATTGCAAACTAAAATTACATGTTTCTGTTTATGTTGATCCCTTCTCTGGCACGAAGACCTTCCTCTTAAACAAGCACAAGCAAATAAGGCTTCATAGTAAATTTTTGTGTTGACGTTCATTTCCGACAAAGTAATTCACGCTCATCCTACCCCTGTGGCAGATACAGACTCCCACTTGTGCTGACAAAGTGACAGCCAACATTTACCACCGAAGACGGGTTAAGAATACAGTTGAAAACAAGACCACCCTGCAATTTGCATACACTTAAATGACTTGCTTAGTATTCACGCCCGAGGACAGCGTGACGTAAAAACATGCGTTTCCATGTTCAAATTTGTTAATGATGCACAACGGGGACAAAAGCAGTTGTTGCAAAGACAGCCAGCGCTAGAAGGACTTAGTTAGTGAGTGGTTTGGATCTTGCAAAGGCCAAAACAAGATATAAATAACATAAAGGGACTTTGAAATGGCACAATGTTATGCAAGAGTATGCGGGTCAGAGGCAGCAGGACCAAAGCGACGAGGGAGATAAAAACAATGTTTCCATATGCTGTGGTTACAATATATTTATGTATCACTCAAAAATTGGTTCGTCCTCAGTTGAAGGGGATCCTACAGCTTTCACAAAAGTTGGATTTTGTGGGAATGTTAGTGTCCTTTCTCTTCCTGAACTTGTTTTCCTTTGAAATCCATGATTTTTCTATAAATCCACACATTACGCAACAAACTCGGCTAACTCTTGTCTCGCTGGAGGTCCAATCTGATCAGCCACACTCTGATTGGTCAGAACGCACACTCTGGTCCTAAAGTAGAAGTAGAACCATTGCACACCAAGACCAGAAGAACCAGAGATGGTCAGAACGTCCATGGTGCGAGCAGGAGTTCATTTGAATGAACAGACATCTTGGAGATCTGGGGCTCGATTGTCTTGTATCGCCTTGTGTTGAATCGGTAAGAAGGGATTGGAAGTACCAGTGGACAAAAGTTATTTTCTTTTAACCCTTTCATGTTCACTGCTTGAAGAAAGCAATGTATTTAAATTTTTTGGGAATTTTCTAAGATGTAGGACACTAATATACAGTATGTTGTTTTTATGTTGGTTTTTTTTCAATTATCAGCCTTAACTAAAGGGTTGAGATGCAATTGTGATGGTAAAAGTGCATAACACCAAGTGAGATGCCCCAAAGAGGGACATTTCAGTCCCAAGCATGTTTCAAGTAGATATATTACAGGGGTGGCCAACCAGTCAGAGACTAAGAGTCCATTTGTTTACTGTGTTTACTGTGTTTACGCACGCACACACACACACCTCTGCTCAGACAGATTTATTGTAAATGTCATCAACATGATGACAGAAATTGCTTCGTACAGTACTAAAGGGCTGGACTCGACTCTCCCCGGTTTGCGGGCGCTTCCACCGCTCGCCTTAGCCGCTCCCCGGTACTTTTTATTAATAGTTTGGCCCTGGTTCTAACTGGGCGAGTCGATACGAGAACAATCTCACGTCAGCGAACATCAATCATGATTCCGAAATGAATGCTTTCAATCTCTAACCAAGAAAAAAAAAATCAGGTTTCAAACCAGTATTCAGCAGAAACACAACTGTCTTTATTGAACCCTGATTCACTCTGACTGCGTTTAATAAAATATATAGATTTGACACATAACACCAACACCACTTTAGTTGATTTTGAACCACAGACACATGTTCAGTATAAGACCAGATACTTTTGCATTTGATTGAAGACAGACACTCACCAGGCAGAGGCTTATCTCCTGGTGTAGCTGGTGCTAGCTGGTTTTAGCATGTTAGCTGGTGTTAGCCGACGTCCGTAAATTTAATCCATTTGGTCAAACCACCTCCAGACTTTTTCGGTTCTGCCTCTACTTCTGCTGCTGTGATCTTTCATTTCACGGTTGTCACTTTTAAGCTTTTTAACTTTTCTCTGCATTGTGATGTTTGTGGGAATAGCGCTACCTCACAAACACCTTCTAGTTTCTGGTGGAAGCATCGAGCTCACGCTGGTGTCCTCTCCTCAAACTGAGGAAGGTGTTGCCCTCATCCAGCGACCAAGGAACTGTTTTCCGTACGAACGCCATGGGTCGAGGCAACGTGTTGTTTGTTATGATATTTGCAACAGCTGAGGCAGCATAGCTGCAGAGTGATTGACAGCGCATCTGACCAATCAAAATTGACGTTCGCCGACGTCAGATTGTTTTGGCGGCCCGGCTAGTGGAGTGAAGTCGGCCTTTACTATGGGCCAGAACTACATAGAGAATGAATGGCAGCGCCACCATCGAGGCGTTTTGACGCTTGTGAAAGCCCTAGAGCCGCACGGAACCAGCCAAAGAGCCGCATGCGGCTCACGAGCCGCTGGTTGGCCACCACTGATATAGTAACTTAAATATATATATTTACAAAATGGTCAAGGAAACCATGAAAAGGTCAAAGTATAGGTAGGTCTATATGCAGGTGCGTCCAGAAAGTTTGCATGTAGTATTTAAGCTTCAGCTCCATCCTATCCCTCAAACTGTATCCGTGTATCCATGTCAGTTATATGATAATTGTTTTTGTGCAGGTTTGAAAGAAATAATTTGACGAGCTAGCTCACCTTGGCATATCCCAGCATGATCATTCTCACCAGCACCACGTTGATGTGCACTCCCAGAGACTCGTCGTGGTAAATCTCATTGACCTGAGGAAACAAAGGGACTCGGTAAACACATGAGCTAATTTAGGCTTTCGCTGTTGGGCACAAATGAGGCAAAAATAAATTTAAAATGTTTATTGTCGCAGCAGTGAGTGTGTGTGGGCGGGAAGTGCATTAGGTTCAGGCCTGGTTTCCACTGATCTTGGAAAGACAGAAAGTGATTATAAAAACCTGTCTAAACCGGGTGTTGTTTTAAAGGAGGCATATGATGCTAGATCAACTGATGCTAAATCAACTGTTAAACCGTATTATGGAAATTAAGAGATTTTACAGAGATTTTATAATAATTTTTAAATAATGTTAAGACTTGTTATGGAGATTTTCTTTAATGCATGCCTAAAATTGATTTTTACTTTCGTAACTTGTTTTCACAAAGAGCCAAAGCAATTTTCTAGTGTGGTGACAGTTTTTGGAGTAATTACATAAAACCAGCCGCAGCAAATACACGGACGTCAAAGGCCTTTTATCAATGCAGACGACCTTCTGACGCCATGCTGAGCTTTGTGAAGGTCCCTGCTGTCTGTCACACCCTTGTGTCTTTCCGTCTTGCATCTGTATGACCTGCATTTCCACCATTGTCTGTCTGTTCACACCCCATGCCACTGCCACCACAGGGGATGGCGCCGGCGCTTCCTGTGCGCCTCCTCACCGGTGGCCCCCTCCGCTCCGTTGTGGGCGTGACTATCTTTGGTGTGTGTCTTGTATACAGGAAGCTGGGGGCTCTGGCCCCCAGAGCTGAGCATGCTGCCTTTGTGTGCATATGCTGACTCTCCGCACTGTGCGTTAACAATAAACTTACGCTTTTGATCAGACAAAGGACCTTTGAGTTTTCTCCTTCATGGGCAGGGTGCGATTTGTCAAAAAAACAGAAGGGGGGATAGTTACTCAATCACTTTATTGCATAAAAATCACATACATTTCATGCTGTTGAACTTGAAACTTGTAAGATGTGTTCTGTCTAGTAGTAACTCAGTGTGAGTGTGTGCACGTGCGTGTGTGTGTGTGTGTGTGTGTGTGTGCGTGTGTGTGTGTGTGTGCTTGGCGCGAGCGTGAGTGTGCGCGCTGCTGGTGGAGCGAGCAGAGGGTGAAGTTGATGCCTCTGCGTGCAGGGCGTCCGGAGAAAATTAGGGAGCGAGACGAGTGTTTAACGTGACATTACGGCCCAAACCTCGAAAACAACAAACTGGTGTGCTTATTAGAGTCACACACACTAACAGTAAACCCTGTTGGAGAAAGAGTCCTCCAAGACGCATGAACTAACGGATGCCTGAACTTTGAACATATGTTCTTATTTGTTTTAACAAAACAGTCTGCTCTGATTATTCATTTGCGGTGCTTTTTTTGGCTTTCCTGTGGGTTGATCGTTCGCTGCGTGCCGCCCCTCATTTTTTATCCACATCTCAGCATACACATGAGCAGGGAAGGAGGTTATGTCAGGCCCATTGATTGAAAGAAACAGGAGAGCATTCAATGTGCATATTTGCATTCTATTCCTTTCGTCTGTAAGTGCGCGGTTCATTGCGCTGAATCCGCGCTCGCATTCTGCAGTTGACACCGGCAACGTAGAGACAGCGGTGAGGATGTACTGCATGCGTGCACCTGTCAAATAATAAAAATAAAATTAATGTAAATTTGACGTAGAGGAGTGAGTTTCTTCATAAAAGTTGTTACTGCTTAGAATAGACAGTTGCTTTACCTGTGATCCCATGGCATTTGAGCTCGTGGAATTCTTTTAAGAGGATGGCATTGCTTTCTCCGATGTCGACAGCAAGTTTTTTTTGGATCGCGAGCAGCTTCTCGTCTCCATAGAGAATACGCTCATCCTCGTCAGGTGGCCAATTGGACGGGTTCAGAGCGGCAGAGGCAGAAATAATGCCATTGTCATCAAGCCTGCGCTGAATGTTCTCTGCGAGTGACGTATAAAAACCTTCGCGAAAGACCTCTGCCTTTCTTTTATCTCTGTCGCTTGGTTGAGACACATTGACTCCTTTGAACGTTTCTGAAGCCTCGTATTCCCCATGTAGGCGTTTTGCGCTTGTGCCATCCACTTGTCTCATGGCTCCAAGCGCTCTCACAGCAACGTCCACTTCAGTGTTGGCAGTGACTGCTGTTGCGTCTCTCCTCTGGAGAAAGAGAGATAAGGCCTGCAGGGTTTCCAGTGCGTCTTTCACGAATGCCATCTCCTCCAAAAAAAGCCACTGGGTCATTTTCTTATGAATCCCGCTGCATTTTGCCCTCTCTGAAGACGGTCTGGAGCCGTCTTCCGCCAGTGTCCCAAACATCTTAACGAGAGCAGGATAGCTTTCCCAGAGAGCTGTAACGGATGTGCAGGAAGATGACAGCCATCGCACGTCAAACACCCGTCCTATTCTGCGTGCTTGTATTCCCAAATTGGAAGCGGTGAGCTCAAGTTCACGCATGTGTTTTGGGCTCTGGCTGAAATATGCATAGAGGGAGTCAATAAATATTTGAAAATGACTCGCGTCTGTACATTGTTTTACTGCGTCATGGACAGCAAGCTCCAATTTGTGGCTCATGCAATGAATCACGGTCAGGTTGGGATTTATCTTCTCCCGCAGTAGTGTTGCTGCTCCTCTGTATTTGCCCATCATGGCAGCAGCCCCGTCAGTGGCAAATCCAATCAGTCTGGTGCGCAACATGTCTTTTTGGAGGCCGAGGTTCTCGAGGGTCTGAAGAACAGTGTCACAAATAGCTGCTCCAGTACAGGCCTGAAGTTCAACCAGTTGCAAAAAGAAGTTGCAAATGTCATCTTCAAAGGGGATCCGAATGTATATGATGAGGCAGGTTTTATTTGACGCAGTTGTACTTTCATCAATGAGAATGCTAAATTTATGGGTGGATTTTTTAATGAAGTCTGACAACTTGCCTGTCATTTTGTCTGCAATAAATATGAGCATATTGCGACAGGCCTTATCAGAATGCAGCATTTGCCCCAGGTCAACACCATTAAGCTTTTGGAGTTCCACCAGTTGTGGTTGAATCTTGAATGACAGGTCGTTTTTACATATCATATATGCAGTGCGCATGCAGAATTCCGTTGTTTTTAATTTTTTCTCGTTGCATTTCCTCCATAATGCCATATTATTGTCCACACCCTTTTCAATGGCCATTTCACCTCTTTTCTGAATAATTTCTACACATTTTACATGTGACTGACACTTTGCGTGTTTGCTGATTTTGTCATGGAGTTTTTTAGCAGACTTTGTTTTTACTCCTTTAACAAATGCGGGGTCAATGTGGAGTCTTTCTTTAGTGTGAGGACCCAACTGTCCAATGTCTGAGCAACATTTACATTGCACTGCCCTGTCTGCGTTAAGCGTAAGCCACTTTCTTTCTATTCTCCATCTGTCAAAACGTCCTTGGTCAATGCAGCCGCCTACCAGAGCATCGGGAAGGGAGCTAGCTTGGAGTTGGAAAGCATCTTCATCTGTGTCATTTCCAGTTGGCGAAACTGGATTATTTTTCTCCACACTATTGTGTGATGCGTCTTGTGTGTCAAGATCACTTCGCGATTTTTTGGATCCTGCAAAAAAAGACGATATGCTGCTCTGAACACGCTTCATTTTGTAAACCGTTATGCTAGGCTATTACCCTGAAATGTAACTATTTATTGCGTGATGACGTAACTTAAAAAATAGCGCGATTACGTCATTATTTATTTATCATGTATTGTGTCAGTAGGGCCCTGACGATTGACAGATAGGCCCGGACTCTGCATTTGACTCGCTGAGCGGAGCTCATGGCGTCTTGTCTTAACAGCTCTGGCGGGGATGGATCTGCCTTGTAACCAGGACTATCTATAGCAGAACTTTGCAAACAATCGTGGCATTGTGGATTATGTTATATATATATATATATTTTTTTAGGAATGCCTGTGTGTTTTGGGCTGAATATAAGCGCGCACAGCCCCGTTCAATGCGTAATGATCCAGCCGATAGCCTACTCCGAGGCAGATAATTATATATGAGACGCATAGGCCTATGTTACGTGTTCCTCTGTATAAAACTATACTGTATTTTGGATAGCATTCAGCGAGGAGCAGCGAGGGAGACAGGAGAGACTCCCCAGACCCTCACTCTCTGCAGCAGACCCCGTGCGCAGCAAAGCCGCTAAAGCAGCTCTCACCCGCGTCTCATGTAAAATGAAATAAATTGGCCAGCAGGTGCACGGACCTTGAACACACAGCCAATTTTATAATTCTACCCCCCCTACGTTTAATACAATAATACAGCAGAAGTAGGGATAGGGATAAAAGAAACAGAGACGGGGACAAGAAAACCAGAAGGGGGGAAAATCCCCCCCATCCCCCCCAGCAAATCGCACCCTTATACCGTATAAGTTATATATATATATGTTAGGTATAAGTTATATATATATGTTAGATATAAGTTATATATATATGTTAGATATAAGTTATATATATATGTTAGATATAAGTTATATATATGTTAGATATAAGTTATATATATGTTAGATATAAGTTATATATATGTTAGATAGTCCACAGTCTCCTGTATATCAGGCTCTGAGCCCAAACTGCTTTTCCTTCGAAGCACAAAGCTCTCTGCTCCATAGTGCCTCGTCCATGCTCCTGCTGCAGCCGCTCCGTGCTTCCTTCCAATACACACACACGGACCAATCACAGCGGAGCTTCCTTGCGGCGACCCTTAAGGCCTGTTTCACACCGCACGCCGAGCGCAGAGCCGAGCGCCCTTTCCAGCCGAACTACCTCGCGGCGAGCGCATGTATTCAGACTGACGCCGAGCGTGGGCGAAGCGCCTAGACGAGTAGCACGCACAAAAGGAGTAGTATTGTACTCCAAACTAATAAACATGTTGTATATTTACATATGTTGTCTGAAATAACAGGTCAGAAATCAAAATAGCACATGTAGACCTTAAATAAATTGCTAACATTTCCTTATAATGTATCTTATAGCCTATTTTGATTGTCGTTTCATTATCATAGTGTGGTGTTGGAGGGTGCTGCTCACAAAGATAAACATGACACCAGAACATGTGGACACAACTGTTGTAGTTTGTTGCATCTTACACAACTATTTAAGCAATCCATCAGACAATCGAAGATGGTTGGAGGAGTCTAACCAGGGACAAATGTGCATGCGTAGGTCAGTTGGAGAGATGGGTGGCCATAGACCAAGCCAAGAAGCTGCCTCAGTAAGACAGAGATTCACTGATTATTTCCAGTCAGCAGCGGGAGACCTCCCACATGCCGATTAAATAGGCATTATAATTACAAAAGTAAATGTTACTTGGCATTTTAAATTTGTATATAAACATAATGCCTGTATACTGTTTCTTTCTTATTCCTTTGTAGTAAACGCATATTTTAAATGCTTTCTATTTGAAACCGTAATAGCTGTATTACATTGATGTTGTTAATTTCTTCTGTTTTTTCTTTTGTATTTTCACTTACATTTTTTTGGTCACTAATAAATACATATCTTATCTATAAAACACATACTTCTTTTGTTATCAAACTTTTAAAAAAAGTTTACTTTTTGTTATTCAAAGTTAATGCTTTTAAAGTTATAATTTATTGTATATTTGCTAATTAGCGGTTTAAATAGCGTGTGCCCTCCTATCACATGAATACAATCACTTGTTTCACTGTTTTGGAGTTCGACTTTATGCATGCGATGTTGTGAACACAATACATACCGTCTAAACCTAGCATGGCTCCAATAACCTGCCAGGTTCTTTCTTTCTTTCGAATATCTTTGTAGTTTGGGTGTCCTTTACTATACAATTCGGGGAAGCCCTCCACGGCCTCGATGATGCGTATGTCATCCATCTTCACATGTGCTTTCTTTTTCGTGAAAGGAAAGAAGTCTCCGCAGTGTCACATCATGTCACGTGACACGCATACTTCTATCTCCTGGTTAATACTAAAGAAATACTAGAATAATTATAAGATTGGAATAGAACTGTTATGTTGCCTTGAAATTACAATTATATTGTATGCATAAAAAAAAAGTATGACATGGAAAATTGTGTAATTAAAAGAATAAACTTATATGTACTTATGCATTACAATAATGAGATTAGATAAACGTGAAATTGCTTTATAAAAGTTATTTTTTGAATATTTTCGTGCTGAAAGCCGCTTCGCTGCGCAGCCTACACGCGGAAAAAATGCGCTCGAGTTCCATTTTTGGTTTCAGGAGCGGAGGCGGCAGCGGCGCGCGCCGATTCCCTGCGCGCCGCCTTGGCGCCGGTCTGTACACAGAAGAGCTTTCTCATTTGCACAACAGGACGCGACTTGAAGCGCAGCTTGCGAATGCACGCGAGCGGGTTTCGAAGACGAATTTGTGTGCGGTGTGAAACAGGCCTTAGTGACGACGCGTACACGCACGCACACACTTGCGCGCTGTTGGAGGGAGACAGGACGGCAGGAGCCGCGGTCTCGGAGGACTAAAGCCTATATGGCGCCAGATTTACGCCAAAAGTCCACACGCTCAAATAACACATACACGCGCAGCTTTATGTAATTCACACGCTATTAGCTAAGGAGGCTCCTTCGTTTTAGTCTGAGGAGAAACAGCTGTTCATGATTTAGCCTGTGTAGCCTTCTAGTCACAACAAAAGCACATAAATACTTTAGTGCTAAAGTATTCAGCTCTAAAACCACAAAGTGTGTGGTGTTTTTCCTTGATTACAACAACTGGAGAACAAAAGTGATCAACCTGTATACCACTAAAAAGGCAATAATAACTAAGCTAATGTTGCTTTTTTCCTTTATCAGGAGAACCATAGTCTGTGCCTTGCATCTGTGGAGAGGACTGCTGAGCTGAATGCATGGAGAGACGTGATGTGTATTTGTGTTTTCTTTTATTTTGTGCAGAGCTACTAGTAAAAGTCATCCAGTGATCGTCCTTGTGTCGTGGTCCTTCTTCAGACAGCGCAGAACATGGAACACAACGCAGATTACACTAATAAAGGGGTTAACGGGTGTGCACCAGGTCAAGACTGTAATTGAACAATACAAACAAGTTACAACGGTGCCCACACCCGTTACAAGTCCATACCCTGCCATACAAGAACAGTTCAGGGTAAGTATTTCACATTCTTTACATAACACATAATTGTCTGCATCTATAGATTTATATGATTTAGGTTCTCTTTTGTATAGACACTGGGGGCCTGAGTGAGGTAATTATAGATATTAGGCCAGGTAACTGATGGCCATTTTCTCCTATCTACAACCCACTGTTCTGTGACAATAGTATTATTATTATATG